ACGAGTTTTACAGGTATATTAACAAACATTTTCTTATTTTATTATTTTAATACAATTAATTAAAATAATATAATAAACTATTAAATTTCAATTTTAGAATTTCGGTACTATTGATGATAATCTTATTTTCGACTTAAAATAGTTTTTTCTTTACCAAAAAAATTGATTTTTGTGATAAATTGAATAGAGACCATCGATTTGATTCTATTTTCGGGAAGAAAATTTCATTAAGATTCTGTATAATTTTTAAAATAGATTAAAAAATCATTCGTTTCAGATTTACTTCTGTTAATTCACCATGGATAGATAATAATTTTCGAAAATATTAATGTTAACCATCCGTGATTACTTTCTTTCTTTGCCCCAAAGGATTTTCGTATAAATTGAAAATGACCAATGATAAGTTTTATGAAAACGAAATTACTTTTACTTTCCTTTTTATTATTATTATTGCGGTATTAATGGTAGAGTAGCTTAATATTAAACCGTCTTCTTGATGTAGTAAAATATCAACATATTTTCTTTCAGATTTAAAATTAAATCTCTCATAATTACTAGGAAAGATAATTACTTCAGGCTTATTTATTTAGTCTTTTATGGAAACGGGAAATAGTTCTCGTTTAAAATATTTATAATAAAATCGCAAAATAATTTTATTTTTATTATTTTATCTAATTTTTTTTTCATTGCTTGATAGAATGAATGATATGAAAGTCATGTCAATGGTTAATCTCTCCTGTAAGAATATTACACAAAGACATCTGTGAAGTGACAAATGCTGTAATATTACAGCTACTATAATGTGTATAGAATCTATATTGATTTACAGGATAACATCTACTAAGTTCTCCTGTTTATTTTCATAGTAACTTAATCCAAAAGATAAATTCAACATCTCGTTTAAATTAATATAATCCTTTTTACTCTAAATATTATTTGTTAACTTAAAAATAAGGGATTTTATTCCGGATATTTACAACTTTTAAATCATTTTCTTAAATTATAGAATAATTTGGTTATTGTTTTGTTTAGCAATTAACATAATNTTACAAAAGATATAAAATATAGAAATTGCTTCGTGCATATAAAAGGCATAAAACTTTGAAATTAAATAAAAGATATATAATGCTAATATACATTCTCTACATTTATATGATTTTACTTAAAAGCTTTTTAAATGTATAAAATATTAAATGATTATATATCATTGTAAAGTTTCAAATTTTATTATTTTAAAAATTTATTATTCTGGATAGTAAATCATATTTCAATATGTGAACCGATGCAGAAATTTCTTCTTGAGTCGAAAATTCTCCGAGAATCATTTTTTGAAAACTGTATAGGAGTCTCTTATCAATATAATTGATTTTTCTCAGGCAAATAGTATTATATTCGTTCAGTTTCTTTAGTTTGTCTGCTTATAAACTTTTCAATACATCCAGAGTTTTAAACTATGTAATAAAGTGTAAGGTTATACCTATATATATATATGTATAGGGTATATATATATCCCTAGAGATATTGTTCGGGACACGAAAATAACAAATCTAGATCTTTCCATTGATGTACTGTACAGTACATAGATATTCCGAATTTTTTTTTAAATCCTTAAATTTAACTGAATACAATTTCATTAAATTGTTTCTATATATGTTCTGGTATTGAAACGGTTTAAATAGAATATAATGAAAATTAAAGAAATTTAATTTATATAAACGAATGAGCCTATAATTCGTTTAAAACAACGATTTTTGTCATGAAAAATAATTTAATAAATATATTTTACAATGTAGTTTTTAAATAACATTAAAAAAATTGTTTTCCTTTATTAATATGGAGCATTTTAAAATTTTATTATTTATTATACGTCATTAAAATGGAACGAGACTGATAAAATAATTAGCAAAATATAATAAGCATGTTAAAAAAATTAATAAAAATAAAAAAAAAAACTGAAAAATATAAATGGATAATTTTTTTTATTAACAAAGAAAAATCTATTTCGTTTATTATGATAAAAGTTTATCATATTTCTTTTATATTTTTTAAATAAAAAAAAAGTCGATATTTCAATAAGAATATCTATAAAAATATCTATGCACATTTTAAATTAATCTTATCATAATATAAAGTCGAATTAAGGAAGTAAGGTATATTGTTAAAAATTTGCATTATTTATATATAAACTATTTTGAATATAAATACAGTATATTAAAGAAAATGTAAAAGACCACACATGCATTTTTTTCCCTTCTAAATTTCTACATCCATTGGGGATAGATAGAACATTTGTATTTGAATTAGTTTAAATGTATTGTGCTTCTTCACGCATTCATTAACATACAGTTTTATGCTCGAAAGTAATAGTATAAAACTGTTTTTTAATGAATGAATTTTAATAGTAATGTTGTTTAAAATAAAACAAAATTAGCATTAAAATGATTAAAAAATACGAAACATTTTATCAAAAGTTTGAATGTTTATTTTTCAGTTTTATATAAATTATTATTCCTGTTTTTTTTTGTATTAATTATTGTAGACAACATAAAAATAACTTTATATCTTAATAGAATGAATCTACTAGAAATGATTTAGAATATTTATATTAATTAAAGTATATTAAAACATTAATTATACGAATTAATAAATAATGTTTAAACATAAAAACCGAGAGATTATATTTTGTAGCCATATTTAACTCGTTTTTCATATTAATTAATATATTAATTAATTATAAAAATATGGACAATAGAATTTATTAATTAATCTATTTTTATTGTTATATAATGAAATATCGAAAAATGCGAATTTATGTTTATATGACTAATTTTTAAAAATGAAACAGCATATCTTTCATGTTTAATCAGCAATTGGTTAAATATTTTAATAAAACATCACATTTTTTTTACATTAAAGTTAGTTGTAGATGTAGATTATTGTTTACTTAATTTTAGAAAATTTCCATTATTATTACAAAATAATAATAATAATAAAATAAACTGTATAATTTATGTTATATAAATAATAAATTATTATTACTCGAGTTTTATTAATTAAATAAACAAATAACATTAATGTAATCATGAATTAATGTTCTATTTATGCTAAAGGATCTTAATTTTTAAATAGGCCCACTAGTGGCCGAGTGGATAAAACCACTGAACACAGGTCGTTAGTTTGCTCCTGACCAACGGTTTGACGAGCTGGTCGCGTGGAGTTTTCCGGGTTTTCTTCACGTGTCTAACACTTTATGTAGGGGCTAGTTTCCTACACAAATCCTCTATGGAGTCACTCATCTTTGGTAGATTCTCAATGTGTTTTGTAGCCTTTCGTAGCTTTCACCAATTCAGTCACTTTTTAAATATTCAAATATATATATAAATATTTAAAATATATGGATAATTATTTGTTAATTCCTTAGTTTCTATACTTCAGTGTTATTTATATAACTTTCTGCATCCTTAAACACTCAAAACGTCTGATATTTTTGTTTATTTAAGACATAAATTTAATTTTAAAAATTTGTGCAGAGTTTTTTAAATCTCTGTAAACCATAAATTTTTGTTCAAATCTACACAAAGAAAATAATAATAATCCTGAATTATTTAATTATAAGTTAAATAAACAAATCAATCTTCTGTCTACTTAAAAGAGGAAGTAAGCTTCAGTTCAGAAGTAACTACATTTTTTGACATAAATTTCAAGGATTAATTATGAATTGTCATAATTTTTCTGGCAAAGATGATTCAAAATTCAAAATCCTTTTACAAAGAATCGATAATTACTTTATTTTATATAATATGAATATTAAGTTTAATAAAGAAATACTGCTATGAGGGGGATTTTATGTTTTGGAAAATGTTGATCTGGATAATCAATGTTAAACTTAACAGATCGTAAATTTAATCTAACACTATATCAGGAAGAAAGTAATGAACTATCAGATCGTAAAGTTGTGTTAGTTATTCTGCTGATTCGTACCTTTACACATCTTTTCTTAATTAAAACACGAAACATTCCTCTTTTAGTGTCTTTCTGCACTAAAATTAGAGTTAACATGGGAGAAGCTCATTTCGTCTCCCTTGTTACAAATTATTCTTTCGTAAAGTAAAAACAACAATTATAGAAAAGAATATATGATTTATAATTCATTATAAATATTATTCAAAAAACAGATTTAAAATACGATTTATAATTCAAGAAAATTAATAATATTTCAGCTTGAAAAATGTATCTTTCTGTGTTTTTTTTCCTCTGAAATTGATTAATGAAATTTATTCTTCGTATTATTTTTTCATAATATCTTTCATTAGTCACATATTACAACATATTTACCCTCCTCTTTCAAGTTAAAAAATCTAATTTTTAATTTTCCAAGTTGAATTATTTATACTGTGTTTTTATATGGGTTACTTACGATTTTTATAAATGTAAATAACACTCACTGAAAAATTATGTGCCTATTTATTTATCGAGATTCATTCAGATAGAACTAGACTTTTATTTAATTTAATTAATAGATTGTATCTTAATTTTTAATTAAGTTTAATTCTTATCTTCAATGCCAATATTTTTTCAAAAGTTTTATTTACAATGAATGCAGACTGTTGTATTTATCTTTACAGTACCATTGATTGTAAATTCCGAATCTGTCATGATAAATCTTTAATAATTGAAAATTTTGTTGAATTATCTAGCTCATTCTTATCATTATTTTAAATAAACGTCGACAAAATTTTTCAAGTACATCTTCTAATTTTATCGACTCTGACACAATACGACTTTTATATTATTTCTAAAGTAAAGATTATTATTTTTCTTGTCCGAAATAAATAATGTTTATTTGTTTTTCAGATAAACCCGATTGTATTTTATCAGAAAGAATCAGTGACGAAGGAAGACCAATTTTTACATGTGAAGCTGTTGCAAATCCTGATATTGTTAATTTCACGTGGTTTCGACAAAACGAAACCCTTCATGAACATATTGTTTCTCGTGGAACCAAAAGTGTTTTAACTTTACCAGCAAATAAACCCGAATACGATGGAGATTATTATTGTAAAGTGAACAATTCTGTTGGAGAATCTGATCTGTGCCATGTACTTATACAAACAACTTTAGGTAAGTTTAATGCATTTTTCATTAATACAAGAAAAGTTAAATGTTTATATTTTAAATAATAGATAAATTTTTTATATTATATTTACGTATTATAGAAATTGTATTAAATTACAAAGTTTAACCAATATTTTTATTAAGAAGATTATGGCACATTATAGAAACTTATTTTATGTTGTTTAAGACAATTTATCAAGATTTTAATGAAAATACAAGAGAGCATTTAAATATATAAATTTTTTATAAAAGTTATAAGTTTATAGACATATTTCAGTTTAAAATTGATACTTTTATCAAACGATTCTATATTTATAGAATCTTTCAGATGTCGAGAGAGGCCCCAATATATATTAAAACAAAAATGAAAAAAATATTAAAAATTGTATTATATTTTTAAACAATCTTAAATACGTAATAAGTGCAATAGAATGAATAATTTGAACCAAATCTTTTTTGAGACTTGGGTAAAATGACATATCTGTTGATCCTCTGACGATAAGACCTGTATGTAGACAAGCTTGTATATATGCAGCGTGTGTGTTGTCCTAATCAGAATTAATTATGTTAATACATATAAGCAATAGCATAATTATGAAATAAATAAATTTCTATGATTTAAAACTTTAAGTAAATATCCTGGTTTTACTTTTATATTTATGTTTTAGTTATTTATTTAAATTTAGTCATAAAGAACAGAATTTAATATCTCTATCATCAGAATTTTTGATGAAACTCGTTTCCAAAAAGTATTTTCATTTCTTACTAATAATAATATGAATTTTAGAGCGAATTTCATATGACAATTTGTAAGCGAAATTCAATTTTTATTTTTATAGTTTGATGAGTCATCGTAGAAAATTAATATTTAAATATGATAAAACATAATTGAAGTTTCGTTAAAACGAAATTGAAATCGATCAAATTGAATAATAACGCCGCATTTCTTTGTAGAGTAAAGCAATTGAACAGTTTCCTATGAAACATTTTACATTTAAAATTACTGTAATCAAATCAAGATTACAGCTCTTCATGTCAATGCATTAACATATTCAACATTTTTTTTAACACTCAATGAATTTGACAACTTTTTTTATTTTTATTTAATAAATATTAGATGCGTTAAATAATGATAAGTTACACTTTAGTTATTTTAATACTGTATTATCAAACATCTATTTTTATTTTATTATAATGCAATAGTTCTGTAAACTTACATAATACGTTAAGAGATCAATTAAAAATTTTCTACAGAGATATTTATTATAGTAATATTATTTTTCTTGTATAATCTTCTTATGCGTATATTATTATACAATAGAACATGACAAACTTTATCTTTTCTTCTGTTTATTTTATTTTATATTGTTAATCATCTCAAAATATAAACAATAAATGTGACATAACTTTTTATAACTTAACACATAAAATGTAATTTTTAATATAAAGTAAATATTCCAAAGTGATTTTAATCGCCTTCGTCACTAATGACTGATTATTTTATTTACCAGTTATAATTCTATACAGATATTACACAACATACAAAATTTATACGATTTAATGTACATAAAGTATCAAATTATGTTCACTAGATGCATAAAATAACTACCCTATATGAAAATAATTAAAGTATATTATATCATAAAAGAACTATAATTGTTATTTAAACAAAAGCGTTTACGAGTTTTACAGGTATGAAACCTATTAAACAATAGGCATTACTTTTTATTAAGTATAGATAACTTTTAATTTTGTTTCCTAACGAGTTTATAAAAATTTAAATTCAAATATATAGCTATTGGTAATATTTTTCTACAAATAACTATGACAATATTGAATTTTATATGTATGAAATTTTATCTCACGCTTTCGAATCTTGTTTAAAAACTTATAAGATTGATTCTTCTTTAATGAAAAATGACAATTACATTCTAAATGAATAAAAATTAAAAGTTTGTGGTGTATTGATTAAAAGTTCGCAGGGTAATTGAAGTGCCCCAAGGAACATAAGCTAAATTGTAAGCTTTATGTCCTGGGGAGATCTAAAACCAAACTTTAAACACTTATTCAGAATGTTAAATATTCAAACGAATCAAAATCAACAGTAAGCCCAAAGTATTTTGTAAATTTCGGAAATGTTAGTGAAATTACCAATTTAATAGTATAAAAATTATTTTGAATCGCATCAAATAAAGTTATAAAAACTTATGAACGAAAGTCATAATAACGAACGATTTCAATGCAAATTTTCGCGTAAATTTTCTAGTTATTATAGGCTACAAATCAAAAAAAGAGGGGAAAAAGATAAGAATTCGTTCAATTTGAATGATTATATTAAAATATCTTGAATTCATAATTTAGTATTATCGTTTCACTACTTTCATTTTATTCTTTGTTGCCTAAAATAGTAACACCTGTTTCAGACAATCTGAAGACAATTATTTTACTTAAAATATTACTTTCCGTCGAAAATAATATGACATTTTTCCGTAAAATAGTTTCCTAGGAAATTACCACATTTTTATTTCGATTTTATTAAATCAAAATTATTCCTCCAAAGAATTAGAAATGTTATTTATCTTCATTTATTTTTCACCTTGTTACATTTACTTACATTATTATTTCATTAACTAAATGTTTTCTAATTCGATCATTTTTAAAAATAGTTTCATTATTTTAATAATAAGATTAATTAAGTTTATATTAAATCGAATTAATTATGAATAGGAATGATTATAGTAAATTTTATAAATATTTTAATACAAATAATTTTTATTATTCAATAATAAAAATTTGTTTGTGGGCTATATACAATGTTCTAGCATAATTTATGTGTTTTCTCTTAACAATATCATTGCAAAACAAATTTCCGCCGTGTAAATAAAAATAATGAATCAATAAAACGACTAAAATCATATTTCATGAATATTTTTTGTTTACAATAATGGCATCCGTGAATCAAAGAGACCGAAATTAGAATTTGTTATGAAAACAAATGGAAATTAAAATAGAATTTCGAAAGAGAAATATTATCATATTTTTTTTTTTAATTTTATAAAACAACATCTTATTACCCTTCATATATCATTTTATCAGGTTAATACAGATTTACGTATATTGCGGCTCTAAGCCGAAACATTAAAGTGGTCCCCTCAAAAATTACTGTCGATAAAAAACCCTAAACGTAGTGCCCTTAAAAATATAAAATAATTTATGTGTAGAAGCCTTACTTTTAAAGCGAAGCCCTTAAGCCGTGGCTTATGTAACTAGGTAAAATGGATACTGAAGGCAAACGTCAATAATCTGGTGATACTAATTCTTAATTTGATAAATTTTGAATGGTTTCATTAAAATTTTTTCATGTTTTATGTGAAGAGACATGATTTAAGCTTTCACGAGAGCTTTTATAAAAGTTATTAAGATTAGAAAACTGCACTTCTAACTATTCACAAGGTAGAAAGCGACATAAAATATTTAACTATAAATCTAATGAATGTAACTATAACTTATTTATCAGATTCATAGTTAAGTAACCGTTAACCGTTATAATTAACTGTAGTAGTATATGACTTTATTTATTTGGATATATTCCACATAAAATTATTTTGCCTTTCATAATGTTGACATCAAAGAATGAATTATTCTTTATTTTTTTCTTTAGATACAGAAAACTTCTATAGATTTTGTTGTCGACAAGATATTTGTATAACTTCTTACAATCGTATCAAGATTTATATTTCAGTCATGATAATTCATTTTTATTTCAACGATTGAACTTTCAAAATACTCTCTTATCGCATAACTTTGTCTTAATGTTCGACGTGTACGTTTAAGATTTTGTATTTTCAAATTTTCTTATAATAACTCATGCTTACGATATAACGAACTTGAATAGAACTTATTTCTTCTTCCTGAAGGAGACTGGAAACATTTCTTATAAAGTTTTTTTTCTCTACTTTATTAATGGTTATATTATTAATAACTATAAACTTATATTTACTGATTTATCTAAAAAGGAACCATTTACAATTTTTTATCTTTTTTTCCCTGAATTATTTAAATCTTTGACTCAATCGTTTACGATGGAAGTTTTTATCTATATTTTGTTATTTTTAAGAAAAATATCTTTAGATATTTAAAGATCTATCTTATAATTTATGACTGAAATTTTTAGTTAGTTCTATGATTTATAATTTATTTCTAAATAAAAGAAAATATAAATTGTTGAAAACAAACTTAGAATGAAATAATTTAAAGAGAAATCAATAAAATATTAATTAACTGTTTTGTTTTCTTAGTTTCTCTCAATATCTAAATGAATTAAATATAAAGTTTTAAAGTAGTTTATTAGATAAGAAGCTTTAGAAAGTAATAAGTTTGTGCAAAATTAGTGGAGATTATTTCTTTAAAATTAAAAATATGATCAAAGAAAATGTTTTATCTTTATAAATTCGTAGTATATCATAATTTATCTTAAAATAAATTATGTAACTTTACGTCGTAGAGTAAGTGGCAGTAGATTTTACAGGAACATATATGCTATAATGAGAATTTAATACTAAATTTGACTCTTTTAGTATCCATCACCAATTTAATTAAACTTTGATTTTAGGCGAAGTAAATTTTTTTTATAACATCAAACTTCAAATGTCTGAAGAAAAAATTTATATAAATAATTTTATTATATAAAAATGTTTACCGAAAATGTAAATTCAGATTTATTTTCCATTACTCCATTCAATGTCTAACTTCCGCTCTCGGTTAAATTATGTCAACTAAGAAACAAATCAAATTACCTCAATTAAGCAGATTTACTTTGGTTCATTGGCACTGTCCCCAATTAGTCTTGACTTGTGGGAAATTTCATGGAACCAAGACCACAAAAGGTTAGAGGTATGCTTAATTTCAAACGTAATTAAACAAGAAGGAAATGAAGCAATAAATGACCTCAGTTACTCTATTAGCTGACAATTTTCCTTTGATGACGTCAGCGATGTCCACTTTAT